TACATATTAACGGAACTGTAACGAGACAACCAGAAAATAACCAAATCGAAAAATCGTGAAATGTAGACCATGGCATTAACGAATATTGTTGTAGCCATGTTGCAGCATTCATTTTACTTGGGTAAGACGATGGAATGACTATACTATTTATATAACAAGGTAATAACGAATTTTTATCCAAAACACGGAGCCATTTCCAAGCAGCTGCTTCTGAAGATGCATCAATATTTGGAAATGTTCTAAATCCAACACCTTCAGATTTATGAGACCAGTCCTGCAGCAAATACACCATCACCAAATGCAAGCTGTAACGTACAAATATCATTCTCAATATCAGGTCATTTATCACTGGGAACCATCTTCCGATGTTCTCTGCATTTGCGTAATGTATGCGCCCAACACATCAGACGCTTGGCTGTAGGAAATTCATGCTGTTGAGCAGCAGTAATACCTTTCGCACCATCACCCAACAAATAAGCCACGTTGAAGACAATACCAGTTACCGACTGAACGACTTGTTTGAGTGTTTGAAACACATGCATATACGAATCAGCTGCTTCATCAGTTGAGATCAGAGCAACACCATAAGGGTGGAAATGGCGATTGGAATCACTACTACCAAAGACTAATAATGATAGTTCATTCCAATTTACCTTAAACGTTGCATCTACTTGTAATAATGATGACAAACTACCAATAGAAACTAATTGACGCGTGCTAAAGAAAATAAATACTCGATCACAAGAATCAATGGCAAATCTCGGTACGAAAACATCATGAGGTGAAGCTGAATCGGGTGTTAATAATCGCTGATGACACCATGAACTAAGATCGTCGACAGAAATAAATAGATGGACGAGTCAACGAACAATAATAGTTTAATAAACTAGATATTTGAGCAGGAGATACTGGTTGAGGTTGCTCATTTTGTATAGCTAAACGAACTTGTGATTGAGTTAATTTAGCTGCCACGGCTCGTTGAACAATCTTACGAACAGGTGATGGTACGCGTGTCGATTGTAAACAATTATCATGTTTGTGACTGCTTGATGTGCTAACAGTTATTTGTTGCGAACTGTTGATAATTGCTTGTACTTGAAAATTGCAATCAGGATATTTTTGTAGGACAAACACCGATAAGATAATTTTATACCAGCCAAGACTTATTCTGATCGAAATTTTGATACTGGATTGCTTATAATAAATTCGTTTAACATATCTTTATTTGTAAATCTATCGACTACTTTCCAAACGCGTCTCGTTATAACTTTAGACTATCTTGAATTTAGAACTGACTGTGTATTTATATTTTATGTTTTGTTGAAAGATGATGCAATTCATCACGAAAACGTTTTACAGCCATATCATGTACAGTCTAGGTCTAAATCCTCTCTATTGTAGTTATCATAGTTTATATCACATGCTTTATTTTTAATTTCGTCAGAAAAATTCAAAAACCGCTCTCTAAACAATGTTAACCGTTCTCGTTTCGTTCGTCCGTTCTCCTTTCAGCTATGAAAAATATCCGTTCTCTAAAAAATGCGAACCGTTCTCTTTTAAACATTTTTCCAATATTTTTGCACTTCTACAGAGGCGCATATTCAAAGAAGTGCAAAAAACTAAAAAAGTTTGCAAAAAATTCTGAAAAAATCAACCATGATCAATATTTACCAGTCGTTACTCGGCTACGTTATAAAACTGTTCTAATGGTCCTTCATAGACAATTTAACAGCCCGTGCCAGTGCGAAGATTTCTTCATTTGTATAGCCTTTATAATAATTTTCTACTTCACCAAGTGTCATGTCTTTATCGAGTGCGATCTGACATACATCTATAATACTAAAATGTTCCATGTGTGTGAGTTGGTTATCAACCTCATTAGGGCCTTTTGGATGCTCATCGATTACGGTTCGACGGCTAAATGATGATACTGATGGATCTAGTGTAATTGATCTGGTTGCACGCATTAAGTCAAGCCATGGTATCGGCTGAAAGACGTTTTGATAATTTTTAACATCAACATCATCTTTCTGGACATTTTGTGTAAGAAAATTTGGTGGATCATCGATATTCTGTTGTATCATATGTAAAACTGCACCAATCATGCTCAACACTGAACAAAACTCTGCGGGATCTTCATCTTCTACAACATCATCATCCCAAATAGGTTCAGCATATTCAGAAGAGTCATTGTGATTCAAAAATAATTCTCGAAATGTTTTCCAGTTTTCCATTTTTTCGCCATCAAACATTCTTAAGGTACACAAGATATCAAGTGCTTCGCTTATTTCTTTATTTGGGTGTTGAATGTTTGTGCGTAGTCCAATCCAATCTTCTTTCAATGTACGATAATCGTGGATCAGAGGTAAAACGTCCTTTACTTTCAAACCATATATATAATTTTTTCTATTAGAATTGAATGTATCAAAATGTTGTTGTTGATTTTGAGCCGTATACATATGTGTTTCGATTATTTCATCGAGTTTTACTTCGTTGAGAAGAATATGTTTAGCTTTTTCCAAAGTTTCAGGCGTATGTGATCCAAAAATATTGAAATTATCAATAAAATAGTGCGCACATTCACCAGAATTCAATTTATTGACGACATATTTAATCCATTTTTGAGCAAGAAGTAGTGGTGTTTCCTGTGAATCGTTGAGGTCCATTGTTTCACACATCCATAAAACACTTGTTTTAATGAAATAAGATGGTAATACTGTTTCGTTTAAATATCTATAATAGATACTTCTTGCAATACCATTTAGTACTTGTTCATTGTGTGTACGATGTTTTGCAAGTAAAATTTCAATAGCTGAAAACGAATAGCGAAATTCTAAATCTTGTTCATCAATACATGTTTTGGCTGACCATTTGGGAACAACATGCATTGACGTTTTACTCAATATTAAATCGTGTAAATGTGGACGATTTTGTTTTATTCGTTCAAAAAATGGCTGAACACTATCCGGCCAAAATTTTAATTGCAACGCTGGTACTAAATCGGAATCTGTTGGCATACCTTTTTCAATATATTTAGTATTATCTATGAAGGGACAGATTTTAAGCAATGCAGTCTGAGTAGTTCCTCTATCGATAAATATTTTACATACATTGGATTATTTGGTCCCTATGCAGCTAGATTATAAAATGTGTATCATAATTCAGTACTGTGGCTAAAAATGTCTGCTCATTATCAGTACATAGAGAATAACGATCTTTAAAAACTTTCTTTAAAACTTAAAAACTTTGCATATGAAGAACATTAAAATTTGATAAACAAGAAGAAAAGAAGAAATTTTAATAGGGTCCTCACTGGTCTACTCGATATCCATTTGAAATTTGAATAATGGATATGTTGGAGATTATTTGTTCTATGTTGATGCCACTATCCGACGCCTACCACCGTTTTTTGAATACTGCTTTTTCGTAGCGCCAATGGCTCTTATCATCAACAACTCTTTTAACAATAGTTCAGATCTGTATTTGTCACATAGAAGTATTCGAAGATCATTAGATTTAAATTAATGCCTTATGGTTTTAGAATGTTTCTCAAATTTTGATCCGCAGTACCAACAATATAAAATTCATCAATACTATCTACAGTACCGTCCGCATCAATTTGATTTATCTTTTCTGCGAGTGCACGTGCCTTGGATCTTATTATAACTTCTTTTGAAGATATTGTTGATTTTCAACTCATTATTGTTGTTGTATTTTCCGACTTTGCTGTCTGTCAATTTTGATTTAATCTTTTTCAGTTTTTTATCTTTAATGTGTTCAATCATCTGTGTTTGTAAATTATGAAATATTTTACCAACGTATGATTCGGCGCACAAAGAACATTTCGCATATAGGATGTGTCGTAAAACGTTGTGCACCGTAAGTATATATAATATTACTTATACTCTTTCAATGACAGTTTCAATTCTATTTCCATACGTATAACCGAAAAATGGTAATTTAAATACCATGCTTTCACTCGAACAATAAAATGTTATTACCTACCTCTTTTGTTAAAAATCCATACTATTCTTACCTGTTCGTTCGTTCTTTTGTTTGTTTGTTTCAATTATATTCTAGTTATTATCTTTAAAATGCACTTGTTCTATAGATAATATTGTTGCACAAGCAGTGTCAAAAGAGAGAAATATGCATCAAATGATATAAAATGTTATTGTGTTCGAATAGGAATTGCTCAGTAATCACATGTAGTAAGTCTCAGTAATCACGAACAGCTAAACACCAGACAATGCATTTCCTACTTTTCTTGATCTTCCGCATTGTTTCTGGAAATTTTGTAATTTTGCTGGGTCTTTTACAATATAAAAACCAAAATGCATCATTAAACCAATAGCATGCTTACATACATATGTTTTCAAATTTGATCTACATGAACAACTTATTGGAATTGGAATGAACCGGCCAGCTTTGATCTATTGAGAAAAATACTTTATGCATCTTGTACAGCAACATATAGATGTATGTCACAAGCGATATCTGTCAAGATAACTTTATAACAGTGGTACCTTTTATCTCGTCCGGTATGTTCAGCCACAGTTAACAGTTTAAACAAAGCCACTACCTTATATAACAGTGGTACAACTATTGTCTGCTTCTATTCGTATTATAAGGCACATGCGCAAATCAGTTCTGGCAAAATACAGCTTTTGCTTTTTTTGTTATACTTGCTGTGAACTTCAGTTCATGAGACCCTCGGATGAGGTGTTTATCCCTTTACTTTGTATAATCGATTGCAGGAGCAGTCAAATCTGAAGGGGAGGGTGGATAAAATTAATTTTTTAGACAAGCCTGTGGTGAAACATTTCTTTAAGATATGAAATAATTTAAATGCCGTATTCCATCAGAAGATCGAGAGCCTTCAAATAAGCTCTGCTGAGAGTGACACGATATTAACCTTTTTTCAGATTCAGATGTCAGTTTTCAGCAATTATGAAAATATTTTTGGATATTTCAAAAATTTACACAGATAATGTGTAAAGATTCTCTAAAGAACTTAAGAGTTGTTTTCAGTCTAAAGCGAAATATATGTTACAGTCCAACTTAGGATTTAGTCCAATTCCGAATTGGTCTAGTCCAACTTGGAATTCCAATCTGGACTGGACCAACTTAGAATTCCAAGATGGACTAGGAATTAATCAGTCTAACTTGGAATCCTAATCTGATCCAGTCCAAATCGGAATTCCAAGTTAGACTGCTTAATCTCTAGTCCATCTTGGAATTCCAAGTTGGACTAAATCAATTCGGAATTGGACTAAATTCTAAGTTGGACTGTAACATCTATATATCTCCATGAGGAAAAGGTTTTAGACCATAGGGATCATGACTACACAGTCCGTTTCTCTACACCGGCCCGTCGGCTCAGGTAGGGTGTTCCTATATGAAAAAGTGTACATTAAATAAGGTAACCAACACATTGCGCGCAGTTAAGTGTAACAGCCTTTTATATTCACTTACCTATAGCCGTACTCCTTGATCGTGTAACATACCATTGCTATTGATTCGTTTTACGTTCGTATTACATTGTCATTCACCCACAGTTGAGTCATAAAAAACCAAAAGTCACAAAAAAACAAAATACCTGTGTTGCACAATTTTGACAAGAGTCAGCACTCGACGAAATGAGCTACCTCTCTCGCAAACCTATCTCCTCCCTGGTTTTGAAACTTTTCTCCGATCGTCATATACCATTCGAATCGCCATTTGAAGGTGAACAAAAGCACGTACCGCTTTTTTCAAAAAGTTTTTTCCTCATGGAGATATATAGATGTTACAGTCCAACTTAGAATTTAGTCCAATTCCGAATTGATTTAGTCC